TAGAGCTAGATATGGAGGTTGGCAACCCTACCTGCGTCAGGGGAGGTTGGAGCTTGATGATCCTTGAGTTCCCTTCCAACACAAGCCATTCTATGATCCTGTGATTTTGCTGCTGGACTCACCCATGTTCCACCCTGGTCCAATCTCCAGGACCATAGGTTCCCTGACTTTCAGCTCTGCAGAAAGACCTTACATTGTCCAGTCTTGACAGTGAGGAAGGAGGATGATTGCCATTATCTCTTTCACAGTATTATTGTGAACCCTGTTTGAACTGTGTGCTCAGTTCTTAGAGGAACCATGGCTTTATGCAGAATGGTTTTTTTTAACTGAGAAAGAGGAAAATAAAACTTCATTGCACAGTTTCTGTGCTATGTTCTTTGTTTTAGCATCCAGATTGTGAATACAAATTGAATAGCACAAGCTACGAATTCCCTGTATTTCAACTTTGGCTGGTGTTCACCCCCTAGAACCTTGTGTACATCTGAAGACAAGGGGCTCATTACCATCATCATTACCATGCAAATGAGCATGCTCCTTGGAAGAAACGTGTACTGTGTGCATCCATGGTTTCCTCTTTTGATCATACTGGGATGAACAGAACAGGGCAGGGAGTCCCCAGAATAGTTCTCTGGCTTGTAATCTTGTGTATGCTGGAGCTATCTTGGTAAGCACTTGGGAAGTTACTTTTAAGAAAGAGATTTTGGGGCCTTATTTAAGAAAAGAATAAAGTATGGAGAGAATTAGCTTGTTCTTTGTATACACAAATATTCAATTACATTTTGATAGATGGAAGGTTTACGAATTGAGCTGCGGGACAATGGATCATAGAATCACAGAATCATTAAGATTGGAAATGAGTTCTAAGATCCCCAAGTTCAAACCCAACCCATCCCCACCATGCCCACTGATCACGTTCCTCAGTGCCACTTCTACACGGTTCTTGACCACCCCACCACTTCCCTGGGCAGAAATGGTGCTGGAAGAAAGCACTAAGTTAATGGGCACCTAAAATGCTCAGGAAAAAGTCTGATACTTCCAAGATCTAGAAATAGAAAATGGGAATAAAATGTCAGGCATAGCAAGGGGAAATGATACATTAGCACTTGAGCTTGAAAACTCAGTGCGAGTTCATATTGGATGATCCCAAAACATCAAAAACATAACAGGGCAATATCAAAGGCAGTACATGGAGTTCAAATGTTTGAGGATCTGTGTCAGCACTACTTTTGAACTCTTGGTTGTATCTTGGTGGAGGATGTTCCCAGGTAGGGTGGGATGCAGAGCTTCATCTTTCATATTTTCTGTTGGCTGGTAAAGAAAGTTCTGTGCTGCCTTGTGCAGATGCTACCAAGGACTTCATTTTCTCCTATTATATATATATATATAGATATACCCATATAATAATACTCCGGGGGGGGGGGGGGAGTTGAAAGTCTTTTTTGAGTTCTAGTTCATAAGGTATTTATGAGCATGAAGCTCATTGTGGGCTTTCCTGGCCACAGTCAAAGTGTTTTCTTTCTTTTCTTCCAGGCTCACACGAAGTAAATTAATTAAATTTGGCCCAAAGCAATCACATATTGTCAGTTTCCACTTATTACACAGCTTGCACCCCTCCTTGTTGGACTTCTATGAAGGACAGTGCAGCTGACATGTCTGCCAAGCTATGGGACAATGGGCTGGATATCAGCAAAGACTTCTGCCTATGTGTGGGGCTGGGAGCCTGAAGTTCTGGCTAGTCTTTTACAACCTTCTCCTCCATCTACTATCAATAACTTCCTCTGGTCATCTGCAGGCATATCAGGATTCACAGAAGGTTAACATCTCCCTGCAACTGGCATATCTTGGGGTGATGCCTTCCTAGCATGGATCCAAGAGCTGCTTGGCGAAGAGAGGAGGACAGTACATTCACAGTGACTCCAGCATTTTCCCCAGAGGACGATGGCATTAGGATATTGAGTGGAATTCCTCAGGCCTGTGAGCCTTCCAGCTGTGGCCCAACCCCATAAACAAGCTGCAGATAAGCAACAGCTTCTGTCACGCCAATGAAAACCCTGGTAAGCTGCCTGTGTGCATTGCTGCATGTAGGCATGTCTGTTTCTCTGAACTTCTGCACACTGATCCTGCTGGGAAGAAGAGCATGGAGAAACCACCTCTTCCCTACTTATTGCTGACATTCTTGGCAGCACTGTTTTGTGCCATACTGGTGGTTGGATAGGCTCTTTCTGGAGAGCTCCAGCAACGCCAAAGCCCATGAGCCCATGGAATGCAAGGTCCCAGTGGCAGAGAGGATGATCTGCAATGTGGTGGGGGCTCAGGGAAGCTTTGTGTTAGGGCTGAGGGCAGAAGGAAAGTTGCAAAGATGGAAGATGCTATCCATGGGGGTTTCTGGAAGCTTTGGAGAACCTTGTCACTTTCAATAGCATATCAAATTTGAGATCTGAGCATGGTTTTCCCGTAAGCAAGCAAATAATAATGTAGCAGAACCTTATTCTCATAATTTACTGATGTAATTCACTGCTCTCCTAACATGCTGTGGTTTGCCCAGTGATACGGTTGATGCCCTGTTTCTGGAGACTTTTAAGGCAAAGCTGGATCTGTCCATCCTTTCCCTAACCCCCACGTGTCCATCCCCTGATGCTGCTCCATGCCATTCCCCTTAGTCCTGTCACTGTCACCAGAGAGCAGAGATCAAGTTTCCAAAGTACAATGAAGTCAAGTCTGGACCCAGTGCATAGGCTGAGAGGGCACTGATGCTTTGTTTGGGGTCACACAACTGAAAACAGCAGAAGGCAATCTCCAGGAAGAGCATACGTCCTTTAGCATTCTTCTTCCAAGGAACAGGATACCCCATGCTAGCAACATGCATAAAGATTCATTACCTTGAACTGAATCTAAC